CTAAAAAATTCTTTGTATAATATGATGATTTGTTAGTTCAATAATTGCAGAGAATCTTGTTAATATAAAATCAGTTGATTGGTATCACTACAAAATGAGCCAATATACGAAGAATCTCAAGGACATTTATGATAGAATAACTTTTGATAATAATTCATTATTTGACATACAGTATTTTACACTTACATCATCTTCATATCGTTAATAGAATGATTTCTAATAAATTGAATTTGTTAAGGACATGGAGATTGTGGAAGACTTCAGTACTTTTGTTTTGATCATTAGTAAATGCTGTTTGAAATTCAATTTGAAGATGTTCAAGATTTGAACGATTTTTTTGAAAAAAAAATGAAGTAAAAGCATTTTATAATGAATTCGATTGGATAAGACTTTTGTATGTTGAATAAGATGAAGATTTTAATGATAAAAATAATCAGTTTCATATTGTTGATCTTTTAATGAAATAATATCAATATATTGATGACAATCTTCATCCAAAAATTTATATGAACTTCCATTCAAATAAAATACATTAAAATAACAATTATTTAATATCTTCGTTTGATAATGATTCAATTATGAATTTAAATAATAATAAAACAATTTCGATATGAAATCAACTTATTTTCTCTTAATAATAAGTCACAATATAGATCGTTTATTATCTTTATCATTTCTATATTTCGATTAAAAGAGAAAACTAATATAATTAATGATAATATTCTTTCTTTAACTAGATATGAAATATAAACAATATTAGAAATGCAATAGATCATTTATCTAGATTATTTTCATTTGTTCATTCATTAGTTTTTTTTTCAAAATTATCTTTATTAACGAAGCAATATTTTATTCTTTAAGACAATTTATATTTCTGTATCCTATTGAAAATATAATTTCGATAATGCCATTTGTATATATCTACAAGGAATCAAAATCTTACTCGAAAGAGAAATTTCCTGTTTAACTATAATTAAATTGAATGAGAATTAGTTTTTAAGAATTATTTTCGAGATATTTATTTCAAAAATAGTAAATTATAATTTTTATAGAATCTAACATAAAAGATAATTATTACAATTTCTTTGAGTTTCAATTTTAGAACTCTAATTTATTCGTTAGAGGCATTTTATTAATATAAAAAAAAGTCAAGTGAAAGATTTCTACGAAACAATAATTATTTTTCAAACATAATCAATGATACGAGATATAATCTATCTTATTTATCTATATTGTGCAAGAATTTTACTTAATGATCGAATTCATTATTATTTCTATCATTACTATTTTCTCGTAATGGAAATAATTGATCTTCGTTTCATGTTTGATTTATATTTAAAACAAGTTATTTATCTAACATATAATTCTCTTTTGAATATACATCTTTTAAACAAGCTATTATTTATCTTGATTCATTCTATTTCTCTAAGTTAAATATTGAGGAGTGCATGTTTCTTTGTCTTATTCATGTAATAAATTTAGAACAATGAAACATGTATTTTAGTGATTTGAATTTCGATGCAGACTTTAGAATATAATAGGTCAATCTAAACCTTGTTCTCAATGGCATCAAACCCTTCTTTTTTTATGTTGCTAGTATAAATGCATGAATTTCAATATAGAGAATTGGTCACTAGTGATTGAAATTGCTTATGTAAAATTTCTGACGGAAATAATAATTTAATACTAACGAGTCCTAACCAATTTTCAATCAAGAATCGAAATAATTGTGTTGCTAGAGAATAATGAGAAAAGAGTGTGGTGCGCCTGATTCTCGGTTAGGAAGAAGGAAAGAGGAGGATGCGGAAAGTTTCAAGTTAAAACAAAGTTAGTAAAGATACGTTTGATTCAAATACTTTTAAATCTAAATCGTTTTCCGAAATATTTTAAATGAAAATCTTGCATAGATAACATTGATTATAATTAGTTAGAATAAAATATAGTAACACAAATAAAAATGTCAATTTGCCATGTAAATATGATAATCTTCTCTCGTGTTTTTGTTTAACTTTTCAATATTTTATTTTATTTAAGAAAAAAAGTTCTTGTGTACATCAATCAAGTTGAATTTCGTTTTTTTGTTAAATTTATTGGAAAGTCATAAATGAATGATATCTAGATTTAAATAAGTTTTGTGACATATTTTACACGAATATTTTGTTTTTCTGCTTTATAAATATTTTCTGGATGAAATACTTTAAATATTTCACTGCTAATAACATTAATTGAATGAGTTTTAAATTGATTTATATAATGTTCAAGTTAAAAATATATTTAAGGATAAGTTTTTCTAAAAATTGTCAAAGATGCATATAAATAAAATTGATTTCAAATGATAACATTTTATTTTTTGAGTATCGAGATTTGAATAGTTAACATCTCTGCACATTTGTTTAAATATTCCATTAGCTGACAAATTATCAATAATATTTCAATAAATAATTGAATTGTCTTGCGTCAGATATCAAAAATATTGATTTTGTAAAATACTCTGAATATGTTCATAAGATAATATCTGAGTAAATGAAAGATATCAATTGTCATTCGAAAAATCAAAACATATCGCAAGTGTGGATGTAACTCCACCCACACCCCACAATGTACAGACACGCTTCATCATCAATTCGATGTTCTACACTCAGCTACCTTCGAAAAGACATTCCAAACAACAGTTTGAGTTCGATTCGCTTTCTAATTCTGGCAGGACAAAGGATACCAACCTATGGATTTTGTTATTCTATGTCGACTGTATCAAAGATATCTTGACAAAACGAATGAGAAATAACGAAAATGAAAATATCAAAGAAAAATGTCTCGTAAGTAGTAAAAATCGAAATACACCATGAGTAATAAATGTTAAGATCAGAATAAAGCAACGTGTTTTTTTATGTTGCTTCCTTATCCGTTCTCCATCATTTTATGACAATCGGCGGCTTATAGCAACGGCATTTTTCTCTCATCAAGCAACTTAATGGTAATTCGAAGACCAGTGCTATGTGAACCGATACACTAGATTTCAGCCTCATTAAGGACGTCTCTCCTTTTAGGGCTTTCTCAAAAACAACTCGATCAAAATTTCTAAAACTTTCAGGGCAAATATATCGAGGATATTAGAGCAAAAGGTAAAAGTTGTGCTAGACTCTGCTTTGAAAAATGCTCTGTTCTGAAATACGAAGATCAGAGCGGCTAAAAATGACCCCATATCTACTAGATACTACTTTCGATCGAACTGAAACCTTTTTTTTACAGATATCAGAAACTGTTTGGGGTATATAGCTTCTTTTTTTTGCTTTCCTGTTATCTTGTCCTCTTCAAATGAAAAATGTCAAAATACGAAACAGATCATAAAAAATGCTGATTTCTAGATTAGGTCAATATTTGTAGTATATGCTAAAAACTAACAGAATAATATATAGACTAGGTCACGAAATTTAAGTTTGTATGATTTCGTATACTTGTTATGTTCGTTCTACTTGGTAGACCTGACGTTTCCAACATACTAGTTTGAATTCTCCTTCCCAACCCAACCCAAAATTGTGAAATGAATTTTCATAATGCATTCTATTAACATATCTTTGAATTATAAGAACATAGAGATTTCTCACTACTTTCTCTTCTATTTAGGCAAATGATGGTGAACTCGCAGCAGAACACTGAGAAAAAGAGTAAGGCTGCTTCTACTCTTGTCGATCATCACTCTGCAACAATAACGTCGTTAGTACTCTATTACTATTTTGAACATAATTTGTTTGTCACATGCCCTTCTTTTATTTTCAGAAGTCGTTCTTCGTGCGGTTGTAGATCAATAGTTATAGTTTGGTAGTCTTTTTGTCATGGGTTTTGTTGTGGTAACTACGCCTACCATTGCATTAATTTGCTTTATTTATCTCAACGAGGTGATTCTCAACAGACAAACAATTGTAAGTTATCTTCTGAATTTGGTTTTCATTAGAAGCCTTTCAACACAATCCTGGCAGACTTGAAATATGAAACACAATTGAGTTATTGAGATAGGCTAACTTACTTTTACTGAAATTGACTTTCAACTGTTCGATAAATTTCATACAGCGCAACGTTGAGGATTAGGAGATATTTCATCGTTTTGATGTGCTCTTGTGTTTAAATACCATATATGCGCATAATTTAAACAAGTATCCAACCGATTCACTGTTTTTGTGAAACAAGGTCGGAGAGAAATGTTGAAATATACAGCAAAAAATAATAAAATCACTCTAAACTCTGATTGACATGATGAAGAACTGTTGTCTCATATCGTATTATTTTCATCCCAATGAGGTTTCGCTGTAAGCTTTTTCTAGTTGCTCTGATGACCCGATATTTTATTTCCTGTCTATTCATCTATATATGAGTTATCTAAGGTTGTGATAGGATAAGTTTAGATATTGCTGAAACTTGCGTAAGATTTGTTTAGTTGATCAAATAATTAAATTTTTATCTGCACTAGCGGATGCGATTATCGCTGCCAAAATCGATGAATATATCGAAGTCGAGATGCAAAAGCGAAAGATTCCAGCAGTTTCACTTGCTGTATTTCGGAACAGGTAGATAATTCATGAAGGAAGTTATGGCTATTCAAATGTTGAACATAAAGTACATATAAAGCCTGAAACAATTTTTCAATCTGGTTCAGTTGGTAAACAATTTACTTCAATGGCTATAATGATGCTTGTTGAAGAAAGAAAAATTGCACTAGACGATAAAATCAGCCAGGAGAACAATGAAAATATAGTAATCTTGAATATATTATGCTTGGATTATTAATTTGACATGTGCCAAATCAATCTTACGTTGATTTTCTCAAACAATTTATTTTTAATCCTCGTCAAATGACAACTGCACAAGTGATAAACGAAACCAATATCATTCAGAATCGTGCATCAGGATACATTCTTGTCAACGATGAACTTAAAAATCAGAGATGGGTTTCACCATCAATCAACACTGGAGCTGGCGGAAGTTTATATCTAAGCATTTACGATATGACCAAATGGGATGCAGCACTCTATGATGAGACGCAATTGAAAAATCAGATGAGTTTCGATATAATTTGGAGTCACGTTAAATTAAACAATGATACAACGTATCCGTATAGTTTTGGTTGGCGATTGGCAGAGACAATCAATGGAATACGCATGATCTGACACTGTGGAGCATGGCAAGGTGTGGCTGTGAATGTCAGTATTTTCTTGTCTACCAACACCCACTTCACACCCTTTTTCTTTTCCGATATTATAAATAGTTCTCAAACTGCTTCCGTTAGTGTTGCAATGGCAGCAACAAATAGTATGACAATGGAAATCAACATGACGCATGAAAACAGCACTTGTTGATCTCGTCGAGTTGGTTCTGAACTCGCTTGGATCCAGGTCTGAAAATTTTCTTTTAACGGGATTTGAAAATTTTGCACTCGACAAACTCTAGTACTTTGTCTACAATAGCTACAATTGCAGTTGAAATATTTGTTTTTCTCATGTAAGTTTCTCTTCTTCGATTTTCGATTGCAACAAATTTTCCTTTTCTAGCTAACGAAAATTTAGATCTTATTTTGGGTCTATCACTTGATTTTGGAATTCCAACTCTTCTCGTATCATCATCATTGGTATTTAGTGCTCTTGTACAAAAGCTAAACATGAATCACAAGCGAAGTATTGTAAGACTCAATACTTCGATGGGATATGGAACTAGAGAAAATGATAAGGATATTTTTTTGAATCAAACAATCTTTTATATAAGACATTTTTTTGTTTTTGGGTAGGTGTTCATAAAAACAATTATTCAAAATGTAAGGGATTCATACATCAAATGAATCTGCTTTCACATCCAAAATAAAAGTCGATAAACTGTAATTGTATCAGAAAGATGAACGAAAGCAACTTCTTTTTTCTAAAATTAAAAGCTGTGAAAATAAGTAGATTAAGTTAATGAGTCACCAAGAGACAATAGAATGCAAGAAAAAAAAAGATTTTTCGAGATTATGATTTTGGAACTATACTAAAAAGAATCTAACAGCATTCACAGCTACAAACATTCTTTAATAAGAAAAATAAATAGTAAACACATTATGCGTAGAACTCTGCACGAAAGTCGCAGTTGGAGTTTATGTAAATCATAGAAATTTCGAAAACCCTGCTTTATTCTGTTCTCGTGTAGCATTTATTTTTTGATAATTGTAACATTAAGTAAATGAAAATTGTCAATTCAATAGCCAAATAACATGAAATAGAAAAAAAATCACCACTATTCACTATCTCCAGTTTTGTCATTAGATGTATTTTCATCGTCTTTATGTGACCTTAAGTTATATAATTATATCGCTGTACGCATAAACTGTCGCGAATTTATAGGAAAAAAAAATTCGGAATTAACAAAAGATCGACTCCGCAAATCTCTAACCTTTAGCACTAACATAAGTTTATTGTTAAATAATATCGATTTTGTATTTGGCATCACCATTGAATTGCTTCTAAGGAAGAATGAATATCATAATTTAAACTTCTATCACTATCAAAACAAAATCATATCAAAGTCAGAAAATCGTTTGCTGAACTGTGAAATTTATCCGTACAAACGTTTTATATATACAATAAGTGTTAAAGTTATTCAACAAGGCTTATTTCCAATTTTTTCCATTGCCATAAGCGTTAGAAAGAAAATCCAAATAATGATTCGAATAGAGAAAATGATTTCTAATAAGAATATAATGAAATAAAAATTAGTATTAGATTCTCGAAGATAGGGATTCCAATAAAACCGAAATTCTAATTTTTCAACATCTAGAGCCTGTAAATATATCTTTACTTCGGCTACATAGAACGATAGAGTAAATCATCTCAACAAAATGAGGTATCGCGAAGTTTTCTACGACGCGATTTAGCTGAGATACAGCAATTTAATTGAAGGTCAAAAAATGATTTTTCTATACAAATTTGATAAAAAACCTAGTGTAGAGTGTGCAGTCTAAAGAAAATTATTTTTACCCGTTCTAAATGCTGAAAAAACTAGTCTTTTGGTTTTTTGGAGTCTATGTCTTTAGAAACTTGATAATAATCTTATATTTCATGACCGAGTTGATGCTGGTTGTCAATTAGCTGCTCATCCGTATTTACAAAAAATTAAATCTTTACCATTAAATGAAAAAAATTCATATTTAGTTATAAGTTTACCGCGTGGTGGTACTGTTGTTGGTGATGAAGTAGCTAAACAATTAAAAATAACACATGATTTAGTTTTTTCGAGAAAAATTCCATGTCCTAGACAACCAGAATTTGCTATTGGTGCTGTATCAGAATTAGGTGATGTCATATGGAATGATTATGCTAAACAAGAAAAATTAATTGATAAACCACATGTTCAACAAAGTAAAGATAAACAAATTCAAGAAGCACAACGACGAAAAAAATTTATCGTGGTCAACGTAAATCATTGGAAAGTTTAAGTGAAAAAACTGTTATAATAGTTGATGATGGATTAGCAACAGGTATAAATATATAATTCATTAGATTTAATTATTAGCTTGTTCTTTTTTTTTTGTGAGAAATTATATTTATTTTATTTATGGAAAATATTCACTTTGAATTTTCGTTGAGATCTTTATGGTTTTATTCTTTTAATACCAAATATCGATCAAAGGTCAATGCGTACGAAATTAACTACGTCATTTAAATTGACAGAGAGGGTTTTTTAACAATCAAAAAAGGTATACAGCAAAAGTTAGGATATACTACTGAGCCGAAATGATTTAATGATAGATATTAACGTTAATGGTGAGTGGTATATATGTTATAGTTAGTATAGAAAAACGTTTCGTCTGCAATCAAACCAAAAAATACAAACTAATCGATTTAAAGTTTCAGGTGAAAATCAATATGTGTGTTTTACAGTTATTCAAGATGTACGATAGTGTATATTGAGATATAAAACTAGATAGGATATGTCAATTTCACGTATCAATCTTATCAGAATTGTATTAGTAATTTTTTCTTAGATGCAACTATGAAATCGGCTATTTTAACTTGTAAATATTTAAATGTTAAATCAATAATTGTTGCTGTTCCGTGTAGTGCAACTGATTGTATTGAAGATATTAGTAAATCAGTTGATAAGGTTATATGTTTAACAACACCTGATGATTAGTATGCTGTTGGACAATGTTATAAATCATTTGATCAAACAACTGATGAAGAAGTTATTGAAAATATGGCTAAATATCAAGATTTAAATATTGAAAATATTTCAAACAGGTATTAATTCAATATTTATTAATTATTTTTACGATGATTATCTATTTTTGACATTGAAAACTTTTTTTCCTAATATAACCTATGACACAAAAGTCTTGTCATAAAATATTCGCTCATTTTTCGAGCATTAAACAACAACTGGTTAGAGCCAGAAACAGTTAGTTACAGATATGAAACCGATACCAGTAACCGGCCGTTACCGTTGTGTCTTATTTATTGTTCTGATCTTATTATTTCATAGAGGATATGTAATGAAACTTTATTGAAAGTTGATTACGGCAAATACCACTATCCGCCAATGGAATAGTACGATAACTAGTCAGTTCAGTATCGGTATAGAATTCAGACCGATTTCATCTCGGGTTAGTTAGAATCAGAATTTTTTGCTATTTTCGAATATATGTTCAGATTTTGCTTCTTAAGTAGAATTAAACTATCCTCAGTTAATTTTGTGAAGAAAGTTCAAAACTGTATCTGTACAAAGCAAAATAACGATTTTGGCGTAGTTCTTAGTTTACACTGTGAAACAGTTTCATCTCAACGTTATTGTAGAACACTAAATTTTGTACAAAATGAGATATTATAATAAGCGAAATCTCATTTATGCGTTTCCACTAAAGAGCTAGTTTCTATGGAAGTCGGCATTGGAAAAAAAAAGTTGTTTCTTCAAGAACTACTTTTAAAAATACAAAAGTTTGAAAATCTATCATGCAAAAGTACATAGCACGTTGTATAGAGTAAATCTTGGTCTACAAAGTTGAGTCACTAAAAACTGTTTCACATTTGAGATTTTGATAGGTTTCGATCGAAATGTCTAATGATAGTTGTCTAATCTTACTCGAGAAGGAAATTCTAAACACATATTTGTATATTAGAGTGAAAAAGTTTGATTCTAATTATCTCCTTCTGACTCTAACCAGTTGTCTCTTTATGTAACCGAAAAACAAGTGAATATTTAGCGCTCAGACTTTCGCATCATAAGAAATATATATATATATTGGTATGATTCTTTGATTAGAATCGAAACTAATTCGAACTATCTGCTGATGATAACTTGGATACTTGAGTAAAGACTATATAGTCAATTTGTGAACTATTTCTCTGAAGATATAGATTCAGATAGAATGTTACTTGTGAGATTTACTAAAGAGCAATTGTATAACGAGTCCTTTTTTCAGATTAAATAATTAGATTCTATCGTTTAATATTGTCATATCATATGCCTGCTACTCCAGGCATCGAACTTCTTTGCTATCAACTATATCATTAATGAACAATGATGTTTTATAATAATAGTTATTTTTGGTGGTAAACAATCGATTAAAATCGAATTAGATTCTCAACATTTTTTATATGGTGATTTAACATTAGTACCGAATTCTATTGGTTTAGTTCTATTTGCGCATGGTAGTGGTAGTTCACGTTTATCACCTCGTAATCAATATGTAGCTGAACAATTAAATGAATCACAAATATCGACATTTTTACTTGATTTATTAACTAAAAATGAAGAAATTGAAGATGATAGAACACGAAAATTAAGATTTAATATTCCATTTTTAGCCGATCGATTATCACAAGTTACTGATTGGTTATATCAAAATAATAAAAATATTCAAAACTTATCAATAGGATATTTTGGTGCAAGTACAGGTGGTGCAGCTGCTATTATAGCTGGTGGTATTAAACAACAAAAACGAACAAAAGCAATTGTATCACGAGGTGAACGACCAGATTTAGTACCTATTGAACAATTGAATCAAATAACTGTTCCAACATTAGTAAGAAAAAACATACAAATAACATTTTCTTACAATGAATTAATATTCTTTGAAAAGATGAAATCTTCCTTATGAAAAAAAAAGAAATTTCTATAGCAAGAAGTTTTTACTTTTCATAACAATATTTCATGTTGGCGCATCCATAAGAAAATATGAAATAATCCAGACCAATCTTTAACATTTGCAAAATAAAAACTTGTTGTAGTTTTCAAGGAAAGTTCTTAAGTACCGCGTATTTTTTTTAATCGAATTTTATCAATGTGTACAGCCTAATAAATAAAATATATAGTAAATAGCGTTCGTTTTTATACTAAATTATCTAAAAGATTTTGAGAGAGTGCTGTAATTCAAGGTATATTATAATCAACAATAGACTTTGTATCATGATTAACTTTACTTGTTAACATGTTACTTTTGTGTATCACTGGTCAATACTTTATATCATATGCTAGACTTAGTATGTGTGGAGAACTCAAGAAATTGTGAAGAAGAACTCTGCATTAGAATAAATAGCTTTCTGATCGAAGCTTTATATAAGTATCAATAAGAATATGAATGACTTCTTTAAGTTTATCTTCTGTAAGAGAAATTTCGGATGCGTGATTCTGTCCAGACAATTCTCTATACTGATGTTGATGACCGATAGTTATAGCATTTCCTTCGATTCAAAATAAAATATGATATTTCATGACCTATCTTAATCATTAATAAATGTGGAAACCTCGGATTTAAATCCGAGTGCTATGTGTACTTCAAAAAGTAAAAACACAGAAGCAATTTCCGTTTAAGTATCTTTGCAATAGGTGACTTAGCCTTCTTGTTTCTTGATGTTTTATATACCATTTTGTAGCTCTTGAAATTCTCTATCGAATGGTATATAATAGCTGAGGTTTTGTTTGATTATGAAAGAAATAATTTTTTAATGAAAACCGGGATAGGTCAATGATCGCATAGAACAGCATAGGAAATAATGACATATTGTTGCGATAACTCAGCGATTTCTTGATGAATCATTCTCGTCTTCGAACTCGACAGAGATATTGATGACATGATTCTGTGTGCAAAATTTCATCACAATTGAACTACCCTTTGAAGAGTTATCGTGTAAATGTCAGGACGGACACACTGGTCGATTCTATAGTGTGTACTCACTTTTTGAGTACACAAAAAAGAGTTGTTGTAGAGAATCGTTTGTTTCGACATAGAAAAATGTGCACTTTGATACAGTCTCTACCAGATTTACATCGATTTGTAACTGACAGTTTTTTCTTTTTTATTGTGCTGGTTTTATAGAGCTCGTCGAATGGTGAAATAATTCATCGTTTTTTTTCTAATTCAAAGTTTTCATTCGAAAACGTTTTGCTTTATCTTTACAGAGCATGCTATGAGAATATTGAGACTACCATTCAATAGAGCACTCACAATAGTATGTATAGTCATTATCAACGTTCTATCATGATTGTTTACAGTTTGACATCTGTTGAAAAAGCAGAAAAACTCATGGATTACATAGGAAGTTTCGTAACGTATCCATCTAGTCGCATCTAAGTTTTGAAAAACTTTGACAAGAATTATGACAAAAAAAATGGGAGCTTTGCTCTGTTTTTGGCTTTGCAAACAGAACTTTGTAAAGTTTGTTCTTTTCACAATTGTTACCGTCGACTATGACTATCAGTGGTGAAGGCGAAAAATTCAGGAGATGAATCATACTAGATCCTTATTGATCTTAAAACACTCATTTTTCTATTATCTCTGCTATTGAATGCAGGCTTTCTTAGTGGATATCAAGTAGCAGTAAAACAGTCGGAAAAATTGGATATCTCTTTAGATAATAGTGTATCGCCTTTGCTTTCTTGAGTTTATATGTTTTATGTGCTACTGAGTGTTTTAATTGGCGAGTTAGTTCTGAGTTGAAAGTATATTTGAAAATTTCACGTAGCAACCATCTTCTAGATTTGTAACTTCTGAGTCAGATTTTGAATGTGAATTATAAAAACCGATATCTACCTAAAATATACCCATACAGGTGTAATTCTGCATTCACGACTGTTATTTGGAAGTCTGAAAATGAAATTATACCTTCATATTCGAACTCGTTAAGCCAATTACTCTAAGTCTTTACGTTACAATAGTTTTAAAAAATCTCAAAATTTCCTTCAAAAATTGACATTCTGTGACTCATTTATACCGTAACTTGTTCTAATTAACTCTTGCTCTATATCGAAATGAGAACTTTGATATTTTGGTTATAGAATCCTCGCAGGGATGTTTTCAGAGGAACACTTCGCACGAAATACGATGTGTAGTTTATGAGAAAATTCAAATTTAGGTACTACATTTTTCGACAATTTGAAACTGAAAGGATGTCTTTAACATTTAAATGTGACCAGCGTAGGTAATGCGAAACTTTCCATGTAATCCATGAATTTTCCTAGTCTTCTAATACTTGTCTAATTGTGATTGTTCTATCAAATGACAGTCTCAACATTCTTGTAGCATATTTGGTAAAAATAAAGCAAAAAAAATCAGGTATTCTTGATCTAGCTTCCAGTGAAAACTTTGCATCAGAAAGAACAATAGACTCCTACACAACTCGATGTACTCTATGAAACTAGCATAGTAAGAATCAGTCTGAATAAAAGTTGATGTAAATCTGATACTGTATGAAAGTGTTCTTGTTCTACTGATTCGGTAATTCGAAAAATATTTTAGTTTTTTTTTCTTAGTTTTTAATTTTGCATATGTTTTAGTTAATTGTTGGCGGTGCCGATACGGATGTAATCAAAATGAATGAAGAAGCTCATTCACAAATGCTCCAATTGAAAGACGATAAACAGCAAAAAGCTTTAAAATTGATTCCAGATGCAACACACCTATTTGAAGAAAAAGGAGCCCTTGAACAAGTATCACAATTAGCTATATAATGGTTCAAAGATAATTTTCAGAAACATTAAAAATAAATCATTTTGCTATTCAAGCTGTTTATTTTCTATTTCAGCATATAATGTTTGACAACTTTTTTTAATAAATTTATGATTAACACAGAAGATTTGTATTTTTTGTTTTCAAAAACTTTAACTAATATGAACCATTGTACTATGTGCCTTTCTTTTTCTCGTATGATATTGCCAACGTGACAAGGCATTGTGAAAAAAAAATTAGCGAAAACTAAAATAACTACGAATCGATAAAGAATTATATTTCATCCTTGTATTTTGTATGATTCGATAATGAAACAGAAAAGGTCATAGGACTTTCGGCCGTCGGGCGGAAAATTGCTTAAGCCAAAATTTCGGCTTCCCGGTAGAAAATCACAATGGAAAATTATATTGTTCCCTCAATAGAGTTAGGGTGGATGTGTGGGTGTGGGTGGATATGGATGTTAGTGTCTATTCATGAACAGCTTCACCCACACCCACACCCACACCCACACCCACACCCACACCCACACCCACACCCACACCCACACCCACACCCACACCCAC